TGAACTCACAGAAATCTGCCTGTCTCTGCCTCCCGAGTGCTGGGATTAAAGGTGTGCACCATCTGGTTCTTAATCCATTCACATAGTCTGTGTCTTTTGACTGGGGAGTTCAGTCCGTTAATATTTAAAGTTATTAATGAAAGATAGGTATTGAATCCTGTCATTTTTATTTCTGTTTACATTCTTGATATAGCTGTAGTTTTCCACAGTTATACTTTCATTGGATTTCTTTCTGCAATCCCTTGAGTACAGTCATTCCTTTCTTCAGCTCTTTGTCTTACTTCTAGAACTCTCTGAAGGGCTGGTTTTGTGGACATGAATTCCTTCAGCCTATTTATGTCATGGAAGATTTTTCCTTTCCTTTTGACTATAATAGACATTTTGGTTGGGTAAAGTAACCTGGGTTGGCATCTGTGGTCATTTAGAACTGGGAATACTTTGGTCCAGTCTCTTCTGGTTTTCATAATTTGCACCAAAAAGTCAGCTGTAATTCTAATTGGTTTTCCTTTACATGTGTCTTGTTATTTTTCTTTTGCACCTTTTAGTATTCTCTCTTTGGTCTGTATGTTTAGTGTTTTGTTTTGTTTTGTTTTTCCCCCTATGGTATGCATGGAGAGTTTCTTTTCTGGTCGAGTCTGTTTGATGTTCTATATGCTTTTTGTATTTGTATGGGCATGTCTTTAATTTGGGGAAATTTTCTTCTGCGATTCTGTTGAAGATCTGGTCCATGCCATTATCTTGGTATTCTTCTCCTTGTATGCCTCCGATTCGTAAGTTTAGTCTTTTTATGGTGTTACACAATTCCTGCATATTCCATTCCTGTGATTTCTTAAATTTTTCATAATCTTTGCTTGTGTGCTCTAGTTCATCGGTCTAGTTCGTCCACTTTGTCTTCCAGTCTTGATACTCTGTTTTCCATTTCGTTCATCCTATTGGTGAGGCTTTCTCCTGTCGTTTCTAATTGGCTAATGGAGTGTTTCACTTTGTCCTTTATTTCAGCCTGAGTATTCTTCAATATTTCTAGCTCTTTTCTGAATTCATTCAGAACTTAATCCCTATCTTCCTTCAGTTCTTTGATTCCTTTGTGTGTTCTTTAAATTCACTCAATTCTTTTATCATATTCATCATTGTTCTTTTGAGTTCCATGTCCTGCATTATCTCTAGGGGGTTCTCATTGTACTCCTCTAGATGACTATAGGTATTTGGTGGGGATATGTTATTTTGGTTTTTCATGTTATTATTTTTTCTCTGTTATTTTAACATGTGAATTTCTTTTGTAGTTTTTGATTCTTGTGTGGGACTTAGGCCTTCAAGTTTAGGTCTACTTCTTTTTGTGAACTTTATGTGTCTTTGTGGTTTACTTTTTAGGCATGAAAGGCTGGTTCCTTTAAGCTTCCAGTTGTCTCTTTTGATTTTATATTGGAGTGGCCAGATTGCTTTTTGTCTTCAGGAGTTCCCACAGAGGCCAAGTCAGAGGAG